TATCAAAGAGAATTTGAAAGTAATTGAAGAAGCTGCAAAGAAAATCTTTGTTAGAGCAGATATCAATCAAATTCAATTTAATATGAATAAAACTGAGTTAATTCATTTCTTTTCTAGATTCAATGAGAAAGAACTATCTCTAACTCTTTTAAATAGAGAGATTAAACCCAGTGTAAATATCAAATGATTAGAAGTATGATTAAACTCCAAGTTGAATTTTAAATATCACATTCAACAAAGAACTGTTAAGACAGAAAGACTATTGAACAACATAATCAGACTATCAAATACAGAGAGAGGTCTATTCTTCCAGGCTATGAGACAGTTATATATAGCCTGTATTACATCAGTAGCTGATTATGAAGTTCAAGTTTGATGAAATAATCAAGGGAATTTCACTGAACTCTTTCAAAGTCTGTAAAACAGAGTCTTGAGAAGAATTCTGAGAGCATTTAAATCATCTTCTATTAAAGCAATGGAAATTGAAGCTTCAATTTCTTCTTCTACTATTAGATTTGAAAAGACCTGTATGAACTATGCTCTGAGAGTTGTAAAGATGAGCTCAAATCATATAATCAGAGAAAGAGTCTCTTCTTCATTTCCATTAATTAACTCTGAAAATGAACTGAATTGAAATAGATTTCTTGATTGAAATGAAAATAATTCTTCAAAGAAAATGCCTTCTCAACTGTACAGACTATACTCTCTGATTAAAAATCAATTTTCTTCTTTAAATGTTGAAAAAGTTGATCATGAGAAGTTATCTCTCTGAAGAAAAAAGCTTGAATCTCTTATAGACTTACAAATAAGTGAACTATCAAAAGAGAAAGAATATGAACAGCATTTGAAGAGAATTTCTACAATCAATATAAAAGACTCTATTCTGATTTATTCAGATGACTCAAAAAATGAGAACTTGAACAGATTGAGCGCAGATATTGCTTATACTGAAGATAATATTAATTTTATCTCAGATTTCTGAAATCTAGGCTCTGAATGTGAAGTCTTTGATGCTGAACTATTTGCAATAGTGAAAGCTTTCAAACTTATTGAAATAAAATCTCATAAAAGAGGAAATTGTTTGAAAGAGGCATGAATATTCTCTGATAGTCAAGCTACTTTAAAAAGACTTAGAAATAGTCAGATTTATAATAATCAAATGAATCTTGAACTGATCTTAAACTCTGTTTTAAAAATTTAAGAGAGAAGAATATCAAAGCTGAGAATTCATCTGCACTGAGTTTGTACTCATATGAATATTCATGACAATGAATTGACTGATTCAGCTGCAAAAAAGAGTGCAGAATTAAGCAGATCTATTCAAAAAATTGTATCCTGGTCTTTTATAAAGAGAAAAATAAAAGAATCTTGTTTAGACAAGTGGAATGAAAGCTGGCAGAAATAAAAGAAGAGTATACATTATTCAAGATTTGAAACAAAACCCAAGTGAAAATCTTGTTCAATTAAATGTAAAAAGAAAATATTCTCATCTATAATACAGCTGAAACTAGGACATGGCTATTTCAAATCTTATATACAAAGATTTGATGATAGATTTGACTCAATAGAATGCTCATTCTGCAATACAAATGAGAATTCTGAGCATATTATAATGCACTGTGCATTATACAATAGTCTCAGAGTCAGATTGAAAGAGAAGTATGATCTAAATCAATTAAATATGAGATTCTTATTCTCAACTGAGACAGGAATTAAATACTTAATAGACTTTCTATCAGAAACTCAAGCAGCTACAAGAAAATGGCTAAATTCAGAATTATCTGAATATGAAGAGGAGGAAATCAATCAGATATAGTCTGTTAAAACAGCTATACACTCTCTTTTAAGAATTTGTTTTGTTATAGTCTCTCTTTACTTTTTCTTTTTCTGTATCTTTTCCTTTCAATTTCTTTCTATCTATCTATTTAATGTGTCTATCTTTGAGACTGTGTTCTTTCTCTCTTTTCTTTTGTCATGATATTGTCAAATGGTTACAAAGTATCAAAAGATGTTAAAACACTGCAATTTGTAAACAGTTTTTGTATTCTGAGCTGGAATTTTCTGATTTTGCATATCTGAAATTGATGAATGTACAATAGTTAACTTTACAGACATAGAAAAAACCCTGAGAACTAAAGTTCTCAGGTAGATGTCATAGTCTCTGACTGCATACATCTATAATTGAAGAATAATAATAATAATAATAATCTTCTATATAAAAGATATGAGATGAATCTGTGTAATAGTTAGAGAAGAATCTGTAGATTATAAAGAATCTTATAAAATAAGAAACTGAGTAACAGACTCTTTTCTCTTTATAATAATAAGAGATTTTTTCTCACTGAGATTTTTTATAGATATAAAGAGTTTTTAGTGAGTATTACTGCAGTGCTGAGCTGATTCTATGAAGTTACTCAGTGAAAGACTTCATGAATGAAGTCTTAGAGAGAAAAAGATATATAAGAAATCTCACTTCTTATGAATTCTTTATCTCTATTTCTATCTCTTGTATAATTAATAGAGCTAGCAGCTCTTGACTACACACAACTATATAGACTGAAGTTCATGAATACTATTTATAACTTAGCTTGAATACTATTATACATTTAATCTCTATATTTTATCTTTCTATTATAAATACTTCTAGTAGTTAACAGTACATATCATGCCAAGCTGCAAACACCTGAATAATCGCCTGCGAGCACTTATTGTAGGCTACTGAGGCAAAAGAGCTCAATCATCACCAGCGCCTGCTGATAGAAGGGCCGATCAATCACAGGACCTTCAACACTCTCTCTCAGACCAGCTATCACAGAGTACAATACTTTTTCTCAGTAGCTCTCTTCAGTAGCCTTCTCACAATGACTTCTTTTTAATAATGAACTGAATCACTCAGTTCTAGAGCTCATGAGACTTCTAGAGCATACTTCTGAAATGTCTCTTGACACTGTTAAAATGTTCAAGAGTATTTGTTAGAAATTTTTAAGTTCATTCTGAGATTGAACTCATGCATGTTGACCACAGTGAGACTTACACTTAACAGTCTCATAATCTGTAGACTACTGAAGCAAAAGAGCTCAATCATCATCAGCGCCTGCTGATAGAAGGGCCGATCAACCGCGGGACTCTCAACACTTATTCTTACACAATCTTACTAGATCATGTGATTCACCAACTATATTATATTCTTGTAGATAGATCTATCAATACAACCTTCAACTATTCTACAAATATCAACATTTTATACTGATTTTAACAAATGTTTGCAAAATCTTGTTTAATTAATAACTTGACTTGCAGTAAAGAGTTCTACTTGTGAGATAGTTGAAGATTGTATTGACTCTTTCTTCTTGTCATTCTTCTTTTTCTTTTTATCAGAGTGTAAGATGAAACATCTGTTAACAGTATGTTCATATCTCCTGCAGTGAGTGCACTTTCATACAGGTGTGCTTTTCTTCTCATCTTTGTTCTTATCTTTGTTCTTCTTCGCAGTCACAGAATCGGCCTGAGGCTGCTTTTTTCACTCAGTGATAATCTTCTTAAATGTACAATTGATTAGTTACTTCATCAAATCATCAATATCAATGTTGATAATGAGTCTCTGATCAGTGAAGAAAAACTCATTCAAATGTGTCTTGATAAACAGTCTTTAATAATTCTGCAGATTGTTGAGAAAAAGATTATGATATACATTCTCAGTACTCTGACAGAGCTTCTTGTAATAGATAATAAGATAGCAGAAATATCTCTGAAAAGTAAGATAATTATTCTTCTTAACTTGTAATTTTGTCAATTTCTTAAAGATATTAATTCATTCTTCTATCAGTGATATTATATATTTAATATTAATCTTATTTCACAGAGCTGTAGTATTATCAGCTTTCAAGATTTCAATAGTGATTCAAACATTTTCAACAAGACTCAATAGTATACATCTATATAGAGATTTGAAATGAATTCTTCACTTCTCAGAGTCAATATAATGTGTAAAAGAGAATTCTTATTAAGTTTTTAATAGAATATCAGTTTCATTAATAACTTTCACATCAGTTAATATATTAATATATCAGACTTTATAATTAAAGTTATTAAATATAGTTACTAATTTAATATCTAGTGTATATTTAACTTTCTTCTGATATTCTTACAACTCATTTCTTATAGTGTCTCTTTATACAGAGATAGATGTAATGAGATATTAAGTAATTTCAGCTGTAGTTATCTGATTCTGTAGTATTATCTGTATAAGATTTATAAGATTATCTGCAGTGTAATAGATAGATTGATTCAGATCATCATTAAAAGTCAGTATTTTAAAGATAAAAGATAGTGAAGAATTTAAAGAGTTAAAATAAACAGATTCTGTAGATGAATATTAACTCTGCTTTTCTTTATTTTAAAGCTTCTTCATCATCTCATTATCAAATTTCATACTCTGATGAAAATTGATCTCAGTCTTATCTTATAAGTCAGAAGTCTTCTCATAATAAGTAATTATTCTATTAATAAGTTATCTAGTGAAGTGTGTGATTCTGAGTCTTGAGCTGAACTCTGAAGTAACAGATGTATCACTTATATTAAGATAACTCTGCTTCTTCTAGATATGTAAAAAAAAAAGAGTGATATTCTTCACAATAAAGAACATACTTTCTTAAAAATATAAAGTATATGAATCTGCTGATTAGCAGATTCAGAGAAAATGAAATATCTCTAATAAAGAGTAAAAGTCTTTTCAAAAAAAAAGATAAACTATTCATATTAAAAAATGTTGATGCAATGTTCTCAAAAGAAAAACATGTCATTCAGGCTATAACCTGTGAGATAGTTGAAGGTTGTATTGATAGATCTATCTACAGGAACATAATATAGTGGTGGGTCACGTGATCTAGTGGGATCGCTAACCGCAACGGCCGTAAGGGCCAACACTACTTTATATTAAGTTTTATTAATTAAGCTCAGTTTTTATTACATGAAGGCTTTCATGAGTAAGAAGTAGCAGGTGCCAGCGGTGGGATTCAAACCCACGAACTCTTAATGTGTGCGGCCTTGATTACCAGTCTTACCAACTGAGCCACGCTGGCTATAATCATTCTTAAGAAAGTGTACAATTTCATTGATAGTGAAATCACTAAGTTGAGATAGCATATTGATGATAAAGGTAAGAAAGGCGCGTATTTGAATGATATTTGATTGAAAAAGACATGTATTGAATGATAATTGAATGATTCTAGAGTAATGTGAATATTTTGATTTTTTTGTGGTGTTTTGCTACTAATTTTCAGGGGGGGCTGGGAACATTCTGTTTTCACAAGCAATATGTCCGCCACAATAGCTGAAACAGATAGAATAATTAATAAAGTATTTTGCTATCTAAACCACGTTGCATGTGTAGATAAAGTTCCAGGGACGATCTCCGTGATTATCTCCTGGGCTTTGGGCTTGTTTATTGACGCCAATTGTAGGCTTTGATCCAGCGCCAATCCTCACGTGTGGAGAATCTGGCGAGGAAGAACCAAACCATGGAAAGCAACCAGATATCACTGCATGAGAAGGTTGCCAATGCGTTCAGGGAACGAAACATTCCCGTTAAACGCGAGGACATCGCTGCTACTCTGGTAGATGCCGACACTTGCAAATGGATAGAAACCCATCTCACACCAGAAACCCTTCTGTCAAAGGAGGAACTTACCTTGTACGTCCTGTCCTATGCTTCTCGCAAACACTACTGCAATCTGCCTCTAGCCAAGAAGCTCTTGCTAACCGATATCTCCTTTATTCTAAGGTATATAAAACTCGAAGCAACTGGTTCCCTCAAGTCTATCTTACAAGGACAAGAAATATCATCCACACGACCTTTCCTGGACGATGAAATCCGCGACGCGATTGGATCACTCACAGCTTCGACCGCGGCCATTGAGCACCAAACTAAGACCCTAAAGGTGCAATGCAAGGAGCTAAACTCCCAAATCCGCAATGGAATCCGGTCGCGACAACGGGAGGCGAAGGCATGGGAACATTTGAAAAATAAAAACGCGCGGGAGAAGGAGCAGATTGATGTTGCTGTACATTTGCACCCACCTTGAACACTGCATGCATGTTGTTTTCTTTATTGCATACATTATATTGACGTCCTCTTGCAGGTTGAAGACTTCACTCACGACTTTGAGGCGACTCTTGGCTCAGTGCAGTCTTTATTTTCCACCGAAGCTAATACCTTGCTCCCTCAATTGGCTAGTAAATTGAAAGACGACGACCGATCCATGCAGGGCTTGGAAAAAATAGCGTCGACAATTCAAATAGATACCAATTATAAGGAGCTTAGAGCACGGGCTATCGAGCTTACCGCGAAACTCGCCAGATACCTTGCCGAGGCGGTTCACTCACGGTTGGATCGGCTCTATACTGAAACTTTACAAAGCAGCCCACCTGGCCTGGATGAATACGATGAAGAAGCGGTAGCGGCTCTCCAGGAAGAGATAAGCTCATTATATTCGGAGATTGAGATTCTTTCAGAAATGGCCACCGAGCAGCAATTCAGGGATCCGATACTTCGTGCTCTTCAGAGTAGGGGGACAGAGGCTCATTCTACTTCTCAGCAGCAATTGGAACAAGTTCGTACTCTCGTCCTTTCTATGTCACTTTGCTATCATATGCAACCGACGAATGAACATAAAATCTAACTTTAAGTTAGATTTTCGATACTATACTTGAATTAACACAGTCCACAGAGCGAATAACGGAGAGGCTAAATAACCGACAATCCCACCGGACGGCGTTAAGCTATCTAGCTGCAAAATACAAATGTGAACGGGAGAGTGAACTTTCAGAGCAGCAGACAAGTAAAACAACCACAGCACAAAAACGATTGTCTCGAGTATCATACGCGCCCGCAACCCCTAAGGACACTGACCGAAGAAGTTCAATATCTCTCCCGCTTGATCATAGCTCAAAAGCCCTTGATCAGCTCCTCCGGCGGCTTGGAGTTTCCATTATCGATCTAGTGGAAAGCAGGTTAACAGATAACCCTTCAGCAGCTCTTGATGAGAAGCAGCAGCACATGCTGGAAATGCTTCAAAATCTGCAGTCTACCGCAGAGTCGCCTCTTTCCGTCTACCTAGAAGCAGCAGACCAAGCGGCCCAGTTACTGCATTCAGCGCTGTATGCAGATTCGCCTTTCGAGGTTTCAATGGCTGATGCCGCGCAGAATCCGAAACTTGGCAGCTTGGAAAGTCGGATTGAAGTGCTTCGCAAAGGGATTGATGGGCTTGATGTTGATATCTTTCAAGGCGGGGACAAAGCGCAGGAGAAGTTTATGGAGAGGTGGGGATGAGAGATTAGTGTTGATATTATTATTTCCTCCGCTACTGTCTTTCTGGTACTTCTATCCATTGCATTCCTTTTCTCTTCTTCATTTTTCATACCTGTTCCAATAAGGTTCTAATCATCTTCCTGCTAAAACTCAAACATGTTGATTAATATTTACACACAAGGACAACGTGCTTATCTACCTTGAAATCTGCTCCCCGGGACAGCATGGCCTCCCTTTAGCGCCAGCAGTCGGACCACTAAATTTCAGAAATCTGAGTCCTTGATGAGCCCGATTGCATAGCGATAGCCTGATTGATTCCGCAAGAAAGATTTAGCGGCGCCCGCCCCAGTGGCGTTGCCCTAGCGATCGCTCCGCCTACACGTGATCTCATATGTAATATCCATACCGGAAAAACGTAGGCTTATTATACAACCAGGTTATGGTTGTTCCGCCGTGCCAGTCGGCGACGCCATCACTGAACTGTAAAACTTAATATAATGATGAATTAGCTGTGAAATCACTGTAAATGAGTTATGAACAGAATAAAATCATTATTGTATTAATAATATCATCAATTTCTATCTATATAATCACTAATTCTAAAAAATATCTCATTTACTGAAATTATCTTCTATTGAAAATTTGTTATATCTCTCTGTAATTTCTCCTGAATTCTTCAAATCATCTTTATATTATTATCATTGTTTTCTATCATATTTATATCAATATTTATTTCAGAGAACTTGTGAATTGATATTAAAGTTTGTGAAGAGTCAGTATTAATAATCATTCACTATTTAAAAAAGAGAGTTTCAGAGAAATTGAGAGTTATATATTTATTTATTTATATTATTATTAACTTCTGTATAAATCTGAGAATTATTTTACTGATTCTAACTTACTTTTTCACTGAGAATATCAAGAGTTTCAGTACTGCTTATAGTCAGAGAATCAATCAGAGTCAGAAGATTAAAAAAGAAAGAGAAAGAAGAATTAATAGTAGTAGTAGAGATATTAGTAAAAGAGATAAAAAGAGAATTATTACTATTATTAAATTTCTCATCACTGCTACTACTGTCACTGACTATGACTGAATTCTTATTAAGATAATCTATAAATCTCTGAATATACTTCATTATTTCATACATTTCAATAATAATATAACTAGCTTTAATATTGATATTATTTATTAAATTTATAAGATTCTTCATCACTGATTTTTATTCTTTAATATAACTAACTATTATTCTTAAAAGCTTATAATACACTTTAAGCTTGATAGTTTTAATATTAAGTTTTATCTTTTTAATTGTGATTTTCTTCTTTTCTATAATAACTTTTTTCTTTTCAATTTCTAATTTCACTCTTTTAATATTTAACTTAATCTTCTTAATCTTGATTTTAACTTTTTCAGCAGTACTGATGATGATATTCAGAGCTTTTAGAACAATAGTGATACTCTTTATATATTAAGCTTTTACTTTCTGTCAGTGAGTTTTAACTTTCTTAATCTATTTTAAAAGATTCTTTACTGATTTCAATATAACTCTCTTTATTATTTTCTTAAAATTATTTAATATAGAAAGATAAAAGTTATATATTTAAATTAGATTATTAACTTATTCTTTTAATTCTTCAGAGATAATTATATATAGACTGACTGCTGAGATCATGAATTTCACATTTGATTTCATTTGGTCTGATCTCATACATTTCTTGGTGTGAATCCCGCTGAGACTAATCATTAAATAAACATGTAAAGTGACTATATATCAGATCTCAAAATGAAATCATGACTTGAAAAAAATGAGAAAGTGATCTCATTTGATCTCATTTAGTCTCATTCTTGGTATAAAGTTACTATTTTTAGACATTTTAAGATTTTTTTTAGACTATTTTTAATTTTTTAAAAAGTAACACTTTTTGATAATACTCAAATGAGATTTAAAGTCATTTAAAGCAATAAAAATAATTTAAATTGAGAAGTGGAAATCATGATCTCATTTGGAAAATGTGACAAGAGTAGACAGTAAGTTTCACTGAGACAGTATGAGACTACTATCTAATGTTAGAACCATGTAATGAGATCTGTCAAATTGGCAATGAGACTATCAAAAATTCTGGTTCTGATCCCAGACACGGTCACATGGTCAGTCTAATTATATATCTCTTTTTCTCATAATTATAATTTATACAAGACTTTGAGCTTCTCTTTATCTTATCACAAGCAGTATTCAAATGATAAGAAAAAATATACTTAATATAGTACTTATATATTATTTATTTATCAGACTACTTTATCAGAGTATTTAAATAGCTACTTATCTCTTTCTTCTGAGCTTTTGCAGCAGTGATATAGATACACTTAAGAGTATTATCAGTTATTTTTACTCTTGCTGCTGCTATTGTTATTTAAATTACTGATATTAATATAATAGATGAATCACTGATGTTCTTGATATTGTAACATGGCGGAACCGAAGCGGTGGCTAGTCGGCGGTGTCACATAGAGGTAGTTGTTTGAGAAGCTGTATGAGTGAGCTTGACTATCTTGCTTGAATAGTGAGCTCATAGACTATAGAGTTATTGTGAGGATATCACAGATATAATACTTAGTATACTAAGAAGATTGTATGAGGCACACAGTAACTCTTGTGTATATTTCAGTAGCAGTAAAATGAATCACTGACTTCTTTGATGAGAAGCCAGCATCTAGCTATTCTATATAGACAATGAGTGAATACCCTTCTCTCATTTCATGAGTGAGGATAGCTGGAGTAATACCTCAGCAGTGTCTCATTGCCAAGAAAAAGTAATCTGCTGACCTCATATAGAAGCAGGGTTCTCATATTCATCAATCAGATCTTTCTATGATATATTCAAATGATGTCATAGAGTGGTTGAAAACTGGTTCAGACAGGATGAAATCATCCGCATGGAAGTGATGAGTCATGTGGAACTGCAATGAGGCCTTGGCATGGCTGGGAGCATGACAATGCCCTTCTCTTTAAGAGCATAGTTCCTATACTCTCAAGATTACTGGATTAGAAAGTATCTTTGTTGTATAGCAACAGTTGTTAACTGATTGACAGTGTGTGTGCTGCGCATGGTACAAAGAAATAGATGAGTTTTTCTGCTGACTGTATAGGTCTTCCTTTTCCCACCTTTGTCCAATTCAAACACATAGTAAGTGGGTTCCTTATATATCAATTTGAAATGTGGAAAACATAGTTAACAAGAGGCTTGCAGATCTCCCAACATATTCTATTCTATGTATGAAATTCCCTGCAAAAGTGGTGTGTTTTTAGAGGCAAAGCTAACAGTAGTGACAGGATTTTTTGAAAAGATCTCTCTCCCTGTGAAACATTTTTCTTTCCCCCCCCTCAATCGCAACAGTGAGTGCATGGGGGTATCATCCTTGGAGGACAATCAAGGGCTTATTCTGATGTTTTCTAGTGGGTAACAAACATCTTCATGGTGCGGCGGCGGCCTCCGTGGCCGCCAAGAAAGCCAGGTTGGAGGCGGAGGCAGCGGCGTCAATGAGCTGCGGGAGCACCGCTCCCATTGCCACACCTCCTCCTCCTCCTGCTTCTTTTGTGGCCGCGGCGGTAGTCGCCGTGCCTTGCAGTGAGGTGTCGTCCCTTCTGCCGGTCAGTTCATCTGTGTCTGGTCTGTCCCCTGCCCCCCCCCGCCGCTGTTGCGACGCCGCCCCCCCCCCCGGCCAAAAAAAGGTGTATGACCCTGTGTGGTCATTCAGAGAGGAACCTGGGGAGAGCTTGGTTTCCGGGGACAAGTGGCTCCGAGGAGCCCAATCTGTAGTTCCCCTCCCGCGGCACGCCCGAGCCTGCTCGGGATGCTGCTGGGTTGGGTCCGCAGGGTCCCGCGGTTCCTTCATCTTCTCCCTGTGGGGAGGCTCCAGTGCGGCCTCTGGCCGGCACTGCTACTTGCCTGCGCTGCGCCAAGCAGCTGAAGAAGGGGGGGATTTTATGCACTTGTCTCTTCTCCCACTCCCGTTGTTTCTGTTGCGCCTGCAACAATGACTCCTGTCTCCCTGTAAGTATTACCTACCCTACAAGAAGGCGTCGTGTCGGCTCTGACAAGGAGCCCAGGTGCCCAAGCAGTACAGAGCAAGGGTCTCAGAGCTCCAAGCATTGGTGGATTTCATCAAGGCTGAGGAGGTCCTCCTTACTTGTCTGCAAAAGAAGATGAAAGCATGAGTCTCTGAGATGGAAAAACACCTCAGAATGACTGGCCCCAAGAAGGGGTCAGCTGGCGCCGCCATTGAAAGCATCACAGAGATCAATCACTGATTGAAGAGAATCTCACTTCAATTGAAGCAGATGACTGAGATGCTTTGTAAGTTGATAAGTTGACATTTCATGCATTCCTTCTGCTCTCCTGCGGCGCTGCAGCACTAACTTCTCAGCAGACAAAGATGTCAGTGCCAGAGACTTCAACAGTGGAGAATGAGTTTGATGAAAGTGTGGTTGTTGATGAGTAGGTCCTGAGGTTCCTTCTTTTTACTTTTTCAGCAGGCTGCAGCCCCATTAGATTAGCAGTGACTCACAGGTCAATTAATATTAATCTTTTTGTTGATTTCAAATATTCCTTTCTTTCCTTATTAACTGCTTCAGGAATTTTACACTTGTGTAGTCTCATTAAACTTCTAAAAAACCCTTTGAGAGAAAATAGAAGAAGAGTGCTACAGAGTCTACAAGACACTGACTCATCACTGTGAGATCATCTCTAAAAAACCCTTTGAGAAAAATGAGAAGTCTCAAGCAGCATTTCTTGTCTAACATCTCTGATGTGTAACAGAGCAGTCTCTACTAGCTGTCTCATAGATTGCAATCTCTTTCTCAGCATTTTCCAAATGCTCAAGCAGTTTTCATGAATTCTCTGACAATGAATAATCTTCTCATTTAACAAGGTATTGAAGCTTGCTGTAATATGTTCACTTGTTCAATATTTTCTTCACAAGATATTCAGTATCACTCTTGATCTTGATATCATTCAGCTGAGACAGCTCCACTCTGAGACATTACTTATAGAGCTCTAAATAGAAAATGTGAAAAACAGAATAAATTGATTTCAATTCTGTGAATAATTTTAACTCATATATCTGCTTACTCATTACTCTTATTACTGAGAAAGGTTCTAGTCATCACTCACTGAGCTTCTTACACAGTCTCATTATCTTAATATTCTTTGCTAAAAGTAGCACTTGATTCTCTATCAAGAACTTCATTGAAAGATGTTTTTAATTATAGTATTTCATCTGCTGCTTCTGAGTGCAGTGAATGCTTTTCACTGTCTTCTTATGAATTTTGTTCAAAAGTTTCAATCTCACTTTTACTTCTGACACTGAGAAATACTTCATTCTCTGTACCTGTCTGACATTCTGACTGCCTATTCTTCTCTTTGAAATGTCATCCGCGATGTCACTGAGTAACAAAGAATTATATTCATAATAAGTATAGAAAGAAGATATCTTTAAGATTGCATTCTTTGCATTATTATATGCAAATTCAGTGATCAGAAGATGTTTGAGTCAATTATTCTGATAATATAAACAGAACACTTGAAGATGCTGTTCTAGTGTCTGATTCTGATGTTCAGTCTGGCCATTAATCTGTAGATGAAATGTGATACTGAGAAGATGTCTTATTATAAGATGATAGCAAAAAGCTGACCAGTATTTGCTGATGAAGAGAGATTCTCAATCTGTTATTAACAATTTCAGAGCACTGTGATTACAAATGATGATATTTAAAAACAGATCAGTCAATTCAGAGACTTTAATCTTTTTATAAATAGAGATATATCTGGCCATCTTCATGAAGCAGTTAACAATGACTAAAATTGAGTCATATTCTTTGACTCTTATCAACTTCAGCAGGTCAACTATGAAATTCATTGATAGATTCTGTCATAAGCTCTTTGAAACAGGCAGTGATATCAACTCACTGTATTACTTATACTGCAGAATCTTTATCCTTTGACAGACATTGCAAGTTTCAATATACTCTTTGACATCTGCCTGAAGCTTGTCTCAAGTGTATTTATGTTTTAGAAGCTTCTCAGTCTTCTCTAATTCAAAGTGCCCTGTATGGGAATCATTATGATGAATTCTCAATAACTTCTGGCACACTGTCCTGCTATGAGGGACAAAGACTGAACCATTCAGCAGTAGAAGTCCACATTCTCCTAGTTATCAGTGACTTAATTTCTTAGCAGTATCACCCTGCTCAGGGCCTGTCTCTTTCAAGTTCAAACTGAATTCTTTCTTCTTTAACTTTTGAATTTAAGCTGCAGTAGAGATGTTCTCCTTCTGTAACTTATCAATGAATTTCAAAAGTAGTCAGATTAAAAGATTGTAGATCATTTCATTCTTTGTCAATTCAATGATTGCAAGACATGATACAAGAAGCTCATGATCTTCAGTGTCAGTCCTCTGCAGGGACCTGAGTTCTCTTTCACCTTCTATACTGAGTCGCGCAGCTGCCTCTCCAGCGCTGTTCCTGAGCTTTAGAGAACCTCAACTCTCTGCAGCCAGCTTCTTCTGCAGTGATGACAGAGGTTCTTTTATAGAATCCTTCTTCATATTAACAATATTATAATCAGGCTGTCTAGACAGTGTGTCAGTGAGATTAAGCTGACCTGAACAGTATCAGATATAGAAATCATACTCTGAAAGCAGCTCTGCTCACCTGGCTTGACATTCTGTCAAGCTCTTTGTTGTCAAGAAGTAACACAGATTTGCATGATCAGTGAGAACTTACACTGAGTACTTACTATTCTGAAGATAATGTCATCAGATCTTAAAGAATTTGACAATTACTAACATCTTCTGATCATGAGTATTATACCTTCTCTGTGTGAGTGATAACTTCTTGAAGAAGAAGATCACTGATCTTCATTCACAGCATCTTATAGACTCTGTGAAAAAGTCTTCTCTCACAGACAATTCATTATCTGTTTTCTCAGAGATGATTATTCTCTGATTCTTTCAATGTTGAAAGGTCTCTGATGTCAACTGTGAAAAGATTTCACAGATCTCATTCTCAGATGCATCAGTCTCACACTGACTGAGTAAGTCAGAGTTAAAATAATTCAGCATTGTGACATCTGCAAAAGCTTGTTTCAATTCTGCAAACACCTGCACAGTGTCTTGAGTGAGGATAAACAGTTCTGTTTTTCTGTCTTTCACACTTCTCTTCAACAGATCTGTAAGAGGGGCAGTAATTCATGAATATACATAGATGAATTGTCTGTAGAAATTTACAAATCCTAGAAACACCTGCATCTTGCAGTATATTCACAGTGCTGACCAGTTCTCAATGATGAAGACTCAGCTCCTATTCATTGAAATGTTATTCATCTCAATAACATAATCTAAGAAATCAATCTTCTGCATGTAGAACAAGCATTTTTCAGTGTTTGCATAGAGTTGATACTGTCTCAAGTGACTCAACACTTCTTGAACATAGATATCATGTTCTTTCTCTGATTTTGAGAAGATTAAAATGTTGTTCAGGTATACTATGCAGGAGACATTGACAAGGCCTCACAGTGCCTTATTTATATAGATCTGAAAGATGGCTGAAGTGTTACAAAGATCAAAAGATAAAACAAGATATTCAAAATTGCTGTACTTAATATGAAAAGCTGTTTTTCAAACATTGTCTTCATTAACTCTGATTCTATGATAGACATCTCATATATCAATCTTTGAGAACATCTTTGCTTCAGATAATCAATCAATTATCTTGTTAATTAATGATAATGAATAGCAATTCTTAATCATCATCTTATTAAGGCCTCTGTAGTCTATGCATAGACATAGTCTATCATTCTTCTTAGACATAAAGAGTATAGACACCTCTGCTGAACTCTTTGATGAACATATTCAGTTCTTTGATTGTGCTTCTTCAAGATATTTGCACAGAACATTCAACTTCTTTACAGACAAGTTGTAAAGAGGCCTGTACAGTGCTGTTACACTGTCTTCAAGATGAATCTTATATTATATCTTGATATCAGGAAACTTCACTGCTTTCTTTTCTGAAAAGATATTCTTAAAATCTGTAAAGAGACATCATGTACATTCATCTTCAATGACAGATACTGCTGCTAATCTTGTAGTGAGAATGATGACTTCTTCATCTGTTCTCAAGTTCTAATCATCTGCTACACAGTATATTGACTCAATCTTTTTCTCAAGATTCTTCTAATGAAACTCTTCAGATTTCTCTATCACTGTCTCTTCATCAGTGAGATAATACTGCCACATCTGAGTGACTCAGTCAATGAGAGAATTGTTTTCTCTCAATCACAGAAGATCTAGAATGACATCCTCATCTATGATGTTGACTGTGTGAAGAAGCAGACTGCTCTTCTTGAAGATTTCTTCAGAGTCTGTGATTACATACTTCACTTGAATTATGCCAAAACAGTGACATTTCATTTCATTAGTAAATTTCACATGATCTGACAGATCTATCTTCTTTCAACTCTTTATCAAAGAAAAGGAATAGAATATGAAGTTGGCATTCATCTCAGAGTCAAGTAGACATCTCACTGATATCTTCTCATTCAGAGTATGTATTGTGATCATAACATGAACTCAGAGACATGAGAATTGTCAATTCTTTTCTTTCTCTTCTTTATCTTCCGCGGATACATTTGTCAGAAGAGGAGTCAACTTTGAGAAGATATCTTCTCAATTCTTTCTCTTCTTTGACTTCTTGCAATCACTGATATAGTGATCACCAGCTCTGCAGTTGAAACAGAGATCTTTATCAAATCTTTTTTGATATTTCTTCACAGTGAGTGAAGAATCAGAATGCTTGAAATTCTTCTTTACTTTCTCTGCACTAAAGCTGTCATAGTGCC